GCCGAGAATGTTGTCGGTGCGGTTTTCGAGGACACGAGCCGCATCCCGCTGTCCCAGATGCCGCCATTTGCCGAGTACGATGACGACCAGCCCCTGCCGAAATGGATGCTCGGTGACGAAATGGTCAGTGGGTGGGTGGGGGAGGGGCCAGCGCCGCCAAGGAAGCGCTCATGCCTTTGTTGCTCTTGTCCGTTGCCTTTGTCGGCTGCACAGCTAGTCGATACTCATCGCCCTCAGCGCGACAGTGCGTCGGGTGCAGAGGAGGCGCATGAGTCGCGGGCGGCCGACTTCGCCGAGCGGCCCTTCCAGCACCACGAGCGCGTCTACCGCATCGGCATGTCCTCCTGCCGGACGACAGAGGATGTTCGCGAGAGCAGCGACCCCTCGAGCGGCGGAGCGGCGCGGTGCGAGCGGTACTTCTTCGATCGGCCGGTCAAGCAGGAGGTGGCGCCGCTGGTGCGGGTCAAGGAGGAGCCGGAATGGTGATAATGGATGGGGTGCTGGTATACACAATAGATTGATGGGTGTAGCCAGATACTCTGATGGAGGGAGGGGGGGAGATGCAGTGTGGGACCATTGCTATTTCTTGAGTGAGGTGAAAGGATGAGGGATTCGGCACAGTTTTCACGTGATGGATCGTTCGTCCCACCCAATCAGTCTCCCTCCTTCATCTGTGTATAGGTATGTATCTACACATTCACATACACAGCAGAAATGTGCACACAGCAGCCAATCCATCCATCCATCCCCACACACGACCACATCATATGCGTGAATGGAGTCATCAGCAGGCAGGCAGGCAGGCAGACGGGCTTGCTTATCCATCCAGCTACACACATACACCCAAGACACCCATCCATCCCCCGCCCGCCTCTCCCTCTCTTCCAGTCAGCCCACCCTTACTCATTAGCCAGCTAAGCACACAGAGAGTGGGTGTGTCTGTCAGTATGGTATGTATCTACCATCGAAGAATCATCACCGAATGGACGATCTCCATCTACGGCTACACTTATGGGGCGGGGCATATCCATCCATCCATCCACCGATCCATCCGTCTGTTTGTCCAGCTATTTATCTATCAGTTGAGCCCCTTGACGCCCCTCGTGCGCGCGCCGCCCTGCCGGAAGTCGCGACGGCCGCCGTCACGGGGGCCACGGCGATCCTGACACACACATACACGCGGTGCAGTGCAGTGGGGGTGTGGTGGCGTGGGGGTGGGGTGTAGCACTCACCCCCCATATGGATGGACGTCGGCCCTCTCTCTCTCGGTCTCTGTCGAACTCACCACGGCCACCACCCTGCACACACACACACACTCATTCACGTGCATCCGTCTGTTCCTCTCTCTCTGTGTGGGTCACATCCATCCATCCATACATACCCTGTGTGTGAACCCCTGAATGCCCCTCTCCCTGGGTGGTCTGTAGTCCCTGTGGCCGTCCCGGCCGTCTCGGTTGCCGCCATGCCCCGGGCTGCCGTGCTTGTCATCGGGCCGGTACCAGGGAGGCAACAAGGCAGCCCAGCAATGCTACACACACACACACACACACATACACACGTGGGGGCGTTGGAGCGGGGGAGGCCGTGAGGTTGTGAGTGACCTACCAGGGTTTCCCAGTTGCGGAGTTGGGGTGACGTGAACACCATGTAGAGGGACGACTTGAGGGGGTTCCAGTGCCTGCAGGCCATCCATCCATCGATCGCATGCACCAGCCAATCCATTCATTGCAATGATTAGATGGACGGATGTGTGTGTGTGTGTGTTGTGTGCCTGACAGAGAGACAGACAGACCTGAGCGGCTCTCTGAGTGTGGCCTTCTTCCTGACGTAGCTGTTGACGGCCTCCGAAAACCGGTCGCACGCTTCCTGAACCAAGCCATCCATCCATCCATGCATCCATCCACAGACAGACACGCGTGTGTAGGGGTACACGTCTTTTAATCGCTCGTGTGTGTGTGTGTGTGTGTGTGTTGTGTGTGCCTGGAGCAGGTGGTGGGGCCACTTGGTGATGAGGAAGAACACCTGCACCCACACGTGTCTGGATGCATCTGTGTGTCATTTATTGTATGTGCCCCCTCCCTCCCCCCTCACCATGCCCGCCATGCCACGCACCTGAGTGAAGCGTCCCTGTTTCATGATGGTCTTCCATGCCCACTTGAGGTTCTGAACACGGTTCTGACCCAGGTGGCCTGACGCACTCATACAGACACCCACTCATCCATACACATGGGCGGGCGCATCTATCGTTTAGTGCGTGTGTACCTTTCATGCCGTGTTCGTCCAGCACAGGGGTCTCCTCGACGTTGATGACCAGCTCCTCCACCACTGACGCGTGGTCGCTATCGTCGTACGTCAGCGCTCCAACCTGAAAACACACACACACACACAAACACACACACAGACAGACAGACGATGTGCAGATGGTTGGGTGGTGTGGTGGCGGGATGGCTAAGAGAGGGGTTGTTGTGTTGTGTGCCCATTCATGTGTGGATGCTATGCTGACGTGGACGTAGTATGCGATGAAGAAGTCGCGCATGAACCGCACGAACGCACTCTCGTACTCGCAACGCATCTCCCTGTCTCCTGATGCACACACGAACGACACACAATGGACATCCGTCCATCCATCCAGCCAGCCAGCCGTCCTTACTGATGTATTTGGATGCCTTCATGCTGTCGTCATTGTTGGGGTCCCACTCGCGGCACTCGGGGATAGTCTCGTGCAGCTGCTGGCTCCAGAAGGTGCGGCCCTGTTCGCGGAACCGCTGAACTGTTGGTCCACGCGTGCGTGTGTGTGTGTGGACGGACGAAGAAGCAAAGGCATGGCATGGAATGGATGCATGTGCTGGCTCTGTCTGTGTGTCTGTCTGTCTGTCTGCCTGTCGTCTCACTTTTGGCAATGTCGCGCCACTCGTCGCACTTGCTCATCAGTATCGCGTCAGCCTGTAGGTACGTATGGATGGATGGATGTGCCCACCATCGCGCATGTGTGTGTGTGTGTGTTGCGTACATCAGATGCCATGGTGACCACTGGGGCGTACTTGTCGACGAACTGGTCAACGGTCTCCGCGCCAGCAAGGAACTGCTGGAACAGCCGCTCACCCTTCACACACACACACACACACATCCATCCATCCGTCCATGGCAGGCATCAAGGGATCGGTGTGTGGTGTGTGTACCTACCTCTTCCTTGGAGACCATCTTGATGTTTGAGCTGTTCCTCTCGCGGGGCATGTTGTCGTACTCCAGATACGTGTCACGGGGGTAATCTTCATGACCACACACACGCACACACACACACACACACACGGCCCCACACACAAGACAGCAACACGAGATCCATCCATCCATATGTCCATATGTGTGTGCGGCCGTACTCACTCTTGCGCCAGATGGGTTTGTGGTCCGGTGAGTCCATCATGGATATGGATGCCGCGCTGGGCGGCGACCAGGCCCGCTCGCTCTCCACATTCAACACATACGGCTGCGGCGACGGGGCTGACATCCATCCATAAGAACCACACACGCATGAGCACATTTATGTGGCGTGTTCGTGTGTGGGGGGGAGGGGTGTGTGTATGTGTGTGTGTGTGTACCGAATTTCTGTCCGCGAAATCCCGAAGGGCTGCCCTCGTCGCTGCCGCCGAAGCTGCCATACCCATCGCTACGCTGAGGGCTACCACCACCTGCACACAAGTCAGTCACGTCACACACACATGGCAGCCACGCTAACACCCCTCACGCACCGCACATACATACAGGTCAGTCAGGTATGTGATGTGTTGTGTTGTGTGTGTGTACGGTCGTATCCTCCTCTGTCTCTGTATGGTTCGTCGCGAGGCGGGGGCCCGGGCGGTGGAGGTGGCTGGCGGTAGCGCTCGTGCTGTCGGCGACGGTACTCCCGCTCATCCCGCTCCCGCTCCCTTTCCCGCTCCCTCTCCCTCTCTCTGTATACCCGCTCCTGCCGCTCCCGGTCCTTCCTCTCCTGGTCCTTCTTCTCCTGGTACTTCCTCTCCCACTCCGCCTCGTGGGAGTGCTCGTACTCGGGCACACGGATATGGTTGCTGCGTCAGCAGAGGGAGGGAGGGAGGGAGGGAGAGGGGGAGGGGGAAGGGGGACACACATATCAACACAGGGAGTAGAGGCGTGTTGTGCTCGGGTGAGGTAGGTGACTCAGCTCACTCACTCACTCACTCACTCACTCACCCCGCGAGGAACTTCTCCAGGACCTCGATGCGCTTCTGCTCCTCCTGCAGATACGCCCTGACATGAATGACCAAGACACGCACACACACACACACACAGCACACACGTCACACATCGAATCGACACGGTCAGCCAAGGTAAGTAAGGCGTGTGTGGCTGTCTGACCGCACCGCACCTGATCTGGTCCGTACTCAGCTGCATCCATACCATACCGTCCATACAAAAACACAGACACACACACACACACACAAAGAAACCGATGCATTCATTCGTTCACGTCTCGCCTGCCCATGCCCATGCCCGTGTGTGTGTGCCCGTGTGTGTGCGTACATCTTCGCTATGAACACGATCGTACAGCTTCACCATCGCCGCTCCCTCGCTCGCTGAGATGGACGGATGGATGGATGGATCAACGGACCCGCCGAACGAACTGACCAAAAAACATGGAAACAGCCACAGTGCATGGGGGGTGATGCCTGCAGGTCGTTCGTGTGAGCGCCACAGCGCAGCACACGCAGGCAGGCCAGATCCACCGTGTCATTCAGGGGCGTGCGGACGGCCACCCACCTGACCTGATGCAAGCAGAAACGAGGAGATCCGCCCGCTCCTTCCCTACCCTCTACGCTCCTCCCTCCTCCACTCCGCCCGGCTTCGGTCGCTTGCGAGATCAGAGGTGGGTATGCACCCGATGAAAATGCATGTGCGCGGCACTGATTAGAGTGCACGGTGTGAGGCAGGCAGTCAAAGGCCTTTCTTATCTTCTTCGACCGAATCACACGACAAACAGCAGCACCGGCAGCAGGAGGAGAAGCATCAGCAGCACAGGCGGCGTCATGGAGGTGGTTGCCGCCATTGACCAGGTCAGGTGATTGATTAACTCACAAGATGCCCATCCACCCATCCATCATAGGAGCAGATCTGCCACGAAGCGCGTTCGACATGTGTGGTGTGGTGTACAGGGCACAGAGTCAACCAAGGTGACTTTTTATGACCGGCGGGCCACACGGGTGTCGACGGCAAGGCGAAAACACATGCAGGTCAATGAATGAATGAATGCTTGGAGAGAGAGATACGTACGTATCGCATACTCAGGGCACTCATCTCTCTCTGTGTGTGTGCGTGTGTGTGTGTGTCTTGGCCATTGCCAGCTGTTCCCCAGGGCGGGCTGGGTGGAGCATGACCCGCAGGAGATCTTCTACCAGGTCAGGTGGACTGGATAGACAGAGGGCCGCACAATGAATGCACATACGCATACAGATGATGCCACGTACGTATAATGCAATGAATGAATGGCATGGGTGTGTGCGTATATGTGACGGATGTCAGGTCAAGGCGGCGGCCACCGAGGCCTACAACAAGATCAGACACAAGAGGCCAACCATCAAGGCGATTGGTACGCCCGCCTGTCTGCCTGTCTGCCTGCCTGCCCTCTCTCCATATGTATGAATGTGTGTGCTGTGTGTGTGTGTGTGTGTAGGTTTGGCCACTCAGCGTGAGACGGTGGTGGTGTGGGACAAGCAGACGGGCAGGCCGCTGCACAACGCCATTGTCTGGAACGACACGCGCACAGGTCACTCACCTGGGTGGGTGGATGAGTAGATGGTGGATGGATGTCCGTGTGGTCGTATGGATGTGGTTGGGCGGCTACAGATTCGCTCGTTCGTGAGCTCAAGAAGAAACTGGGCGGGAGGGAAGCGCTCAGGGAAACGACGGGTGGGTACCGATCGTATCAACACACATTAGAATCAAAGAAAAGCATATGGATCTGTGTGTCCGAACACACACGTGCCGTGTGTGCGTGTGTCTGCAATACAATACCATACCCGCCACGCAGGTCTTCCCCTGAACAACCAGTTCAGCGCCTGTAAGGTCATGTGGCTCATGAAGCACAACAAACAGGTAAGGAAGGTACATAGGCAGAGGCAGAGAGGAAGGGAGCCGAGCCATCGACGGATTGATTCACCCACAGGTGCAGGAGGCCGTCACGGATGGCCGAGCATACGTCGGCACAATGGTGCGCACCGCACACAGCTGCACACACAGACAGAGACACACGGCATGGCACGGCCAGGTGTGTACCCCATCATGTGTATGTGAACGTGTGTATCCATCAGGATTCGTACCTGTTGTCGTGCTTGACCGGTCGCGTTTCCTCCGCGGCCGTGACCGACGTCACCAACGCTGCCAGGACACTACTCTGGGACATACACGACAAGGTAAGGTGCCCCCAACACACCTACAGGCACATCAATCACATCGATGAATGAATCCATTGTGGACTGTGGGATGCGTGTGTGTGCGTGTGTGTGTGTGTCAGTGCTACTCGTCCAAGCTGTGCGATCTGTTCGGCATCCCCTCCACGGCACTGCCCAATGTGGTCTCCAATGTGGAACATTTCGGGGTCAGTGAGTTGGGCAGTGAATGGATTCACACGCATCCATACTCTCCCTTCCTCTGTGTCATGTGTGGTGTGGTGAAGGCTGTGACGGGCACGTCAACCTGTCTGGACGGCGTCCCGATCTGTGGGTGCATCGCCGACCAGAGCGCTGCTGCCGTCGGTCAGCGAGAGAGAGAGAGTGAAAGAGAGGGATGGAGTGGCCGTACCAGCGTATGAGACACAGAAGTATGAGTGCTGGAATGGATGCTATCTGTGTATCTGTGCTGTGGTGTGGTGTGGAGGTAGGTCAGGGTATATTGTCGCCAGGTGGGGGTGAGGTCAAGTGTGACTTTGGCACGGGCGCCTTCATACTCATGAACACCGGTACCTTAGCTACCCAATCGGCCACTTAACTTACAGACTGGAAACGCCATCGTATTTCGTTTGTGTGTGTGTGTGTGTGTATAGGTGACGGCTCCCCCGTGTATTCGCCCAGCGGCCTCCTGACCACTCCCGTCGTCCAGCTGGGGAGCGATGGTATGGTATGCACACACACGCGCTTGTCCATCTAGATGAGATGACCAACTGCTGTGATCGATCTGTCTCTCTGGTGTGCACAGCGCCCATCCTGTGGGGTCTTGAAGGTGTGGTGCCGACGGCAGGTATGGAAACGCCACGCCCATCCGCACCGGTCACATGTATGGTGTGTCGGGGCATTGCACGTCTGTGTATGTGTGTATGTGTGAGTGTCAGGCATGGCAATCGACTGGATGATCAATCAGTTTGGCATCATGAAGTCGGCCGAGGAGACAGAGGAGCTGCTCAACGCTGCCAAGGACACCGGGGGCGTGGTTTTCGTGCCCGCCTTCCAGAACTACCACACACCAAGGTAACTAAGGTACCTTAACACATCCATCCATCCATCCACTGCTCCAGATGCGCACACATTTAGTGGAGGCATCCACACGTCTCCCTCCCTGCGTGTGTGCCTCCCTCCATCGGCAGGTATTCCCGCTCGATCAAGGGCATGATAATGGGCCTCACCCAGGCCACCAAGCGGGAGCACATCGTCCGGGCCCTCTTCGAGGCCATCTGCTTCGAAATGCTTGAAGTACGGCCGTCGTCAATGTGCGACTGCCTATGTTTATCGGCGTGCTTGTGTGTGTCGTCAGATTGTGGAGTGCATGTGTCGCGACACGTCGAAGATGCACATTGGCGGCATCGACAAGATCATGGTCAGTCAGTCCCCACAACACACACACCCACACACAACCAATCGAGCACCCATCTGTGTGTGTGCATGGGATGCAGGTATCTGGCGGCATGACACGGAACCGGCCCTTCCTGCAGATGGCCTCCGACACCCTCCAGACGAGCATCCAGCGGGGTGAGCAGGAGGCCACCTCACTCGGCGCGGCCATCGTTGCGGGTCTGGGATCACAATTCTGGAAACACCAAGTAGGGGGGGAACCACAAGATGCGCATGAAAGAGGCAGGCGAGTCTGTGTATGGTATGGTGTCGTGGAATGGATGTGTTGTGTGCAGGAGGTTGCGTGGCTGGCGGGTCGGGGGGGCGAGCAGCTGCACCCTTCCATCGACATCATGGAGTGGCAGGCAAAATGTATTATCTCCATGACCGACCGACCCCTTTATGATTATCTCCTCTCAGCAAGCTGGTCTGTGTGTGTGTCCTGTGTGTGTGTATGTGTGCAGGTGATCGGTGGAACGATGTCATTCAGCGCGTGGCGGGCGGCACAGAATCGAGGAGGTGCACACACACACACACACATACGCCAGCCGTCCACAGTCTGTCCATCCTTCGCGTGATGCATACAGGACGCCTCTGCTTAAGTCCCCGCCCCCCGAACTGATGCACCCGGCCAACAACACCACCACCAACACGGCAGCGGCCGCCGCAGATCAGCACAAGGAGAGGGGGCGGACAGGGAGCAGAGAGGAAACGTGGGTGATGGACGGCATCGACAAGTAGACAGGCAGGCAGGGACAGAGAGAGAAGGAGTTTATTTCGTTTGCAGCCGGTAAAGGCTTGCGCCAAGGCAAGACAGACAAGGCAAGTAGGCGATTGACCTGTAGGTGCTGTACCCTAGTCCCGTAGCAACATACACAGATGTATCGGTTTTTGGCATTTTGCTAACTCACTACATGTCCCCTACCTATATATTGCTACCTATATATTGCTCGTACTTGAACATACTGACGGATGAATGCCAGCCAGATTATGGGAACGTCATGGGGATGTATTCACAAGTATGTCTGAAGCACAGCGTCCGTCCAACGTATGCATAAACAGCTGGGCGAGCAGCACGCATAATCCGATCGACGAAGGGATTTGTCTGTACATATGCATCCACACGCATCCCCCATACGACAGGAGTACCGCTACACCACGACCACCACCACGACGACCACCGCCACCACCAACTGCAACTGCAACACAGACAGACGACAGACATATGAGGGGCGTGCAGCGGCCTCTTTTGCATCGTCCTGGCTGTCCTCACCGTGTTGTGTTATCATTGTGTGTGTCTGTCCTCTACGGCGCCTGTCCGTCGAGCAAGACCGGTGCGACAGGGCCCAGTGACCGCCGAGCCAGGGCGGCCGTGCGCTGATGCCTGGCAGGGAACGGATCGCCTGGGCTGCCCACCGGCTGCTCAGTCGTGACTAGTAAGACACTCACTGCCACATGAGAGAAGGGACAGACAATGAGACTGTCTGTCTGTCTGTCCGCACTCACGGCTCCCACTCACCGTTCTGACGGTCATCAGGAAGGACCCAGAATTCGACCAACGCTATGAAGGGGTCCTCGAATGCCGTCAGCAGATGAGTCTGATATACCTCTCCATGGGCCGCTTCCGACGCTCTGACAGCTGAGCATCCGTGCAGTGGTGTGTGGGGCGACCGCATCAGCACGCCGTCCAGATAGCCACCCCTCACGCTACTACACACATCCACACACAGACAGACAGCGCTCCACTGCCACGTCCCATGTGTGCCCCGGAGAGAACCTACCGATCGATGTCCATCTGCATGGTGTGGACCTGGACACCGCTCTTAAAGTAATGGTGCCTGATCGTGGCCACGATGAAGGCGCTCATCGACGCATCAGTGTCCTCCGAAACGCCTGCCGCCCAGCTGCCGCCGTCCTCGGCTTCTTCGTCGAACCAAATGGCCGACTGGACGGGCGGGTCGTCGTGCTTCATGTGCTGTTGGAAGGGGTGCTGCTGCAGGGGGTGCACGTCAGTGATGGGCAGGGGCGGGTTGAGGGTGATGGCGAACTCGGGCTCGTCGCGGATGGCGCGGATCTCGTTGGTGGCGTTCTCACGGAAGAGCTCGAAGGTGCCGTCCTGCTGGCCATTGGCACGACGGAAGGCCACGTGCCGACTGACGACCATCCACTGGGCTGTCACACGGGGCATCGACAGGTAGGCCTGACACACAGGAACATACGACGATGACAGCCTATTCTCCCCCTCCCTGTGTGAGGTGAGGTGCTCCCTTACCGTCTTGGTGTCGTGCTTCTGCAGGTCTACAGCGTCGATGGTGACGGGCAGCTGGCAGTAGCCACACTGGCCCGCCACCCGCAGTCCATTGCCCACCTCTCCCCAGCTGCCGCCCTCCTCCATCAGCCACAGTGCCTTCATCACGCCGCCGCCGCCCAGCTGAGGCGCAAACCGCACCACGCCCGTCAGACCCGCCTTGTCCACGGCGACGGTCAGCCGGCGACGAAGGGCCATCTTGACGTGATAGTTGACGAGTGGTGCAGTCGTCTTGAGGCAGCCGACGCCCTGCAAGTTGAGGGGCTCCTGCAGGCTGCCCACGGCGTCGGCCGAGAGGTGATCTAACTTGGCCTGACCATAACAGACACAAACAGCGCATCCGCTCGGAATTGTATCGGTTGGTATGCTCACTGACCGATGCAGCAGTGCGTCGCTGAGGGAATGTGGCCGCCTTGACGAAGGCCTTGAGCGAGGCCTTCAACTTGGCGTACTGATCCAACGCAGCTATCATGTGGAGCCAACAATCCTGCAGCCATGAATGAATGACACACACATACAAACAGACAGACAGACGTCGTTAACGCCACCAGTAGCGTGCGAATTCTCTTCTCGTTGTCCCAAATGTCGGGCAGTGAGTGCTCTCCTCTGGAGGACTTACGTGCGATGAGAGATCTACTGCATCCAGTGCGGACAAGCGGTACATCAGGCAGCTTATCTGCGAACGACAACACACAGGAGAGGGGAGAGGCGAGCATGGTTTGCCTGTCGACGCGTCAGGCCCAATTGCTGCGTACCTTCGAGTGTTCCTGCTCCAGACCAGACATACTGACGGCCGTCTGCGTCAAATCCATGGTGTAATGGCTGCGCCGCCCTTCTGCTCTCGGGTCACGTGAAACGTTTGTGAGTTTCGAGTGGATCGGATCTTTTTGAGTTTTTGATTTGAATTCGGACCTCAAAGATGCCGCCGTTCGTCACCGTGATGGCCTTTTTGCTGTGCATTCTGACGGTGAATGGTGAAGATTCGCCGTCATTTCGTGGGTTGTCGTATGGCGAGGTGGACTACAGCAGCAAGGGGCTCAACTGGTCCGAGGGTGAATGTGGAAGCGACGTGGTGAGAACACACACCCGAGGGACGGATGGATGGATGGAACAATGGTGTTTTTTATGTGTGTGTGTGCGGTTTGTGTGCAGCGCCAGTCGCCGATAGACATCGTACGTTCGGATGCAATTCAGTTGAGGGGGCGGGGCATCACGTGGTCGTACGGCACCGCTGCCGGCTATGAGGGAGGGGTCCAAGTCATCAACACGGGAAACGGCATTCAGGTAACTTACGTGTGATTGGTGCCCACCCAAGCACAAGCATCCAGTTCTTTCTGTGTGTACTGTACTGTTTCGTTTCATGTGAATGAAGGTTGAGCCTTTGGATGGCAACGCCACGCTTGGCGTGTTCAATGTGACGCATGAGACGCGGGACCCCGGTGTGGAGGACGACTCGTTCGTGGCGCTCCAGTACCACTTCCACGCGCCGGCCGAGGTGATGGATGGCTAACGAAGGGACCAATGGGGTGATACGATACACTGATGTATGTATTTATGTATGTGCCTTTGTGACTGTCAGCATTCGTTTGATGGCGTCCTGCTGCCACTGGAGATGCATATCGTGCACAAACACACACGAATCGGTGGGCTGGGCTGGCCTGGGCCGGCCTTCAGTCACACGGCGGATGGATGAATGGATGGAGACGCAACCAACCACAAATCACTAGCTTGCTTGGGGGATTGTCTGTGCAGACAATGTCTTCGCCGTGTTGGGCATCACCTTTGTCTCTTATCCTGACTCATATGCAGACACAGGTAAGTACGCACGAGCGTGTAAATGCCTGGCTGTACAATTTCCATGCGCACGCATAAGCTCTTGTGTTGTGTATATGCAGAAACTCAGGTCAACCCCTTTCTGGCAGCTCTTTTGGCGCGGCCGCTGCCCGAAACAGGTAGGCACATTCGTACTCGCATGTGATGGAGACACGATATCTGTGTGCGAATGTGTCTCTAATTGCGTTGTTCCTGCAGGCGGAGACTCCTACAACTTGACGGCGGAAGAAGGTGTGCCCGACTTCAACCAGCTGCTGAGCAGTGGAGAGTACCCACTATTCTACTACCAGGTCGGTCGGTGTCTCTCTTACTGTCTGCTCTGCCACCACTCCGTGGCTTTGTTTCCATGCAATTGATCGTTTTCGCGTCCGTTGTTTCGTGCCTTCTCGCTCAGGGTTCGCTCACTACCCCTCCTTGCTCAGAAGCAGTCGAATGGTGCGCACACACACACACGCGCACGCAGACACACACAACCGAGACACACATATATATATTGAAGTTCACGTATGTCTTCTGAATGGCAGGTATGTGATAGATCTGGCCTTGCCCGCAACCGTCGGGCAGCTCAAGACACTCACAGATGCCCTGGGGCAGAACGCGAGGGCAATCATGAACCACAAGGTGAGAATGGGCCGAGAGAAGGAGGATTTGTCTCCACAATGCACGTGTGTGCGTATGTGTGCGTGACGCACAGAACAAGCAGCCGCTGTATTCGCTCATCGGCGGACCGGCTATGAGAAGGCGACAGCTGTCGGACGCGAATGCAACGGTGCATGGCACGGATGATTCCATGACTTCTAGATGATTCATGTGTGTGCGTGTGTGTGTGTGTGTGTGGGACTACAGTGGTCTTACGAGGGCCAGGGCACTGCCTGGGAGGATATGGGTGACTGCGGCAGCACAGAACGACAGGTGAGTACTGATGCACACACACAGGTGAGTACTGATGCACACACACACACACACACAGACGCTGCGTCTCACACAAATTGTGCATCTATATATCATCGCTCAGTCGCCGATAGACTTCGAGATTGACACGATCGAGCAGGGCCCGCATTCGGTGGACGTGCACCTCAACTACCACACCGGCATCGAACAATGGAATGTCGAAAACACAGGTATGGAAAGATATTCATGTGCATCGACGCGCACCCGTGCGTGTGTATGTACGTCTGTGCAGGCCACACGCTGCAGTACACGCTCGTTGAGCCCGCTGACAACCACACCACAGATGGAGACAACGTCACGGAGACACCACACTTGAGGAGGGCGGCAGCCGCACCACCTGGTGACGGCCGAGCTCTCATCGACCAGCTCACCGTCTCTGCAGAGAACGTACGCACCAACATAACAAACATATGTTTTCTCGTCTACAGGGCGCATTCGTCTTGCGCACCCACACAGGGAGCAGGACACGGGTCGATCATCAGTGACAACCTGTCGTGGAATGCGTCCAGGTGGGGCATGGGCGTCGCATTCGTCCAAAACCAAGGCTACAGGTAAGCTTCTCTGCCTCCCCCCCTCTCAACGCCCAGCACGTGTATGTGCATGTCCATATGACGCAGGATCGCGCAGTTCCACTTCCACTCGCCAGCAGAGCACCTATTTGGGGGTGTGCGGCGGCCGCTGGAGCTGCACATAGTGCACCTCAGCATGAACAACACGGGAGAGGCACTCGTGCTGGGCGTCACTTTCATTGAAGGTACAACATGGTCAGAGAGACATCGATGCTTGCACCATTCATTAGTATACGAGTCGAGTATACGAGTCTTTTTGTGCATGCAGGTCCTGCCGACCAGCCCAACAGCTTCTTGTCGTCTGTGCTGCAGGAGGCCGACTTCCCTCAAGCAGGAGACGGCAGGGACGTCGACCTGAGCCCTGTATGGCCGAACACGTGCACCAACCAATAACGATACAAGTTTGCTTACCAACGTGCAATGTGTGTGTGGATGAAGGTCGGGAATATCTGGTCGGTGCTGCCGTACAGCGGTATGTACGCTTGCTTGCACTCACGCCCATGTGTATGTATGTATGTATGAATGTATGAATGTATGTGCATGTGTGTGTACGCAGGTGACACAGCGTATCATTACAAGGGCTCTTTGACCACGCCGCCGTGCACAGAATTCGTCAACTGGTGCGTATGTCGGTGGGGTTTTGTTTCTGGTCAGGGGGATTTCTGTTTGCGCGTGTGTCGGTAGGTACGTATTGCGCGATCCCCTGAAGGCGTCACGAGCGCAGCTGGACAGATTCGAGCAGGAATTTTCATACACGGTATTCTTCAGGACACACACAGAGACACAAACGTGCGGAGTCGATCCTTGTTCAGGACACCCAGGGAAACTATCGCGCCAAGCAGAACGACCAAGTGCGACATGCAGCATGCCGTGTCCCGTACGCCTTTGTATACATGTGTGTGTGTGTGTGTCCCGTCATGCAGAACACGCAGAGCGTGTACAAAGTCTTAGTGACGAAGGAGGGCGAGGATGTCTTCATACCTAGAAACATATCCACCCACGCGGGAGGAGGCCATTATGAGGCATGCACACACACACACACACACACCCCACACCCGTTGCGTATGCAGTCACGTGTATCTGTTGTCTCTCTCAGAGCGTCGCCGCGCGTGTCGATGCGCCACTGTCCCTGTTGACGCTCGTGGCGATTTCGACACTCATGTGGCTCAGATGAAAGGACGAATACCAGATCCATCCTTTCGAGGCGATACACACGCATGCGCGTGCATACACACGCGGCTACAGAGCAGAAAGCGTTGCTGTTCTTTTTGCAGTTGTAGGTAGGATCTATCAGCAGCAGACATGCAGACACATTCGTGTACATATTTGTGTGTGGTTAATGTGGCGGGTGCGAGGTGATGCATGGATGGATGGATGGTGAATGGGGCAGAGACACGAGTATTCAAGCGTGCTGCTGTGCCACCGATCTTCGCACACGATTGCACTCATTACATAGGTCCATTAGTCCGTCAACGCATACGTGCATTCAGTCCACAAACTCATGTACGGATATAAAATGTAAGCGGCGATCGATGGATGGAACTAAAACAGTCTCATACATCAAGCATCAGACCATCCACCCCATCGCATCAGACCCCTCCCCTTTGCCCAGCCTCTCTCGCTCACTATCCTCGCCCCCTCCTTGTTGTCCTTGGTGCTGCTGCTGGTGCCCCAGTAGTTGGAGCCGCTGAAGGCCCCCTTGAGGGCGTCGGCTTCCCTTCGGCGCTTCTTGGCCTTCTTGGGTGGGGCGGGTGGATTGGCGCCGTCATCCTGCTGCTGCGGCTGCTGCTGCTGCTGCGGCTGCGGCTGCTCGCCTTGGCCCTCCTGCTGCTCGTCTTGCGGCGCCTCCTCCTGCTGCTGCTGCGGCGGCGGCGGCTCCATGTCAGGCTCAGCTGATGGATCCCAACACAGACAGGCAGACAGACACACAAAAAACGCATTCATCCGAGACTTGAGGTCAGGATCTGCCCGCCAATGATGTGTGTGTCTACCTGGCAGCACACGGCGCTTCTTGAGGGGGGGTCCTGCGAGCTGTCCGTCCTGGCGCTTCCTCTTGGTGCCCCTCCTGTTCGAGTGGCGCTGACGGTGGCGCTTGTGCGGGCGGCGAATGGGCTCGTTCCCGTCAGCTTCGCCGTCACACGGCCTCTTCTGCCCGCGCCCTTCTGTTGAACCCTCTTTCTGGCCCGGGCCCCCACCGCCACCAGCAGCAAGCAGCCCTTGCTGATGTCGTTGGCCACCTCGGCTGAGTCGTTCTTGAGCGACGTGGGGCGGGCTTCTTGGCCTTCTTGTGGCAGTTGGGTATCCTGCCGCCGCGTGAGTGCTCGCGCGTCTCGAGGTCGTACCCTTCCGCCAGGGCTGTCGGGATGTCTGAGGGAGGGCGTTTGCGGTCGTTCTTGGGCTCGATGGTGCCCACGTGCCTCGCCAGCACGGCCCAGTGCGACACCGAGGGGGGAACGCCGTGTATTGGGGCGGCGGCCGCCGATCGCTTCATCTGGCCCTTCTGAACCGAGAGGGAAGGCAAGGCAAGGTCAATGAGTGTCTGGTTTGAAGCGTGCCTCAAGAACCATTCTACCTACCTTGAGGGCGAGCTTGACTCGCCGCCTGCACTCGTCCGGCGACTGTTGCTGTTGCGGGGGCTGGTCACCATCACCATCACCATCAGCACCTCCCTGCTCGCCACGGCTACGTCCTCCTTGGCCAGGGGGGCGGCCGCCGAAGCGGCCAAATATGCGGAGACAAACAAAGAAGGTAAGAGGAGAGACATGAGCGAATCTGTCCGTGAGCCTCTTCCTTTCTCCCTCACATACTAACGTACCTGTGGGACCGCCGGGAATATCAAAACGATTTATAGCAGGCAGCCTTGGATGAAGTGGAGCCAGCGATCGATCTGCACACAGACGCCAGACACGTACACGCGAGTCGATCAGTCTGCTTTGACAGCTCACCTTCAATGCGCACACGGCGGGGCAAGGCAGTGCAACCGGTTCCGGGTTTGTCATCCGTCCCTCAAATATAAAATGTAGCCAGCGATGAGAAAACGCAGTCGTCCAGCTTGCCCTTGATCAAGGGACCGCTGCTCTGTCGTCGCCTCCCTGTGACTCAAGCTGCAGGCAGGCAGGCAGGGATGAACGGAATCACACA